TTCGGTATTGTCAGCACGTACGCCGTGGCTGTCCTCTGTACCTAACGGGTGGAAATTCTCTTTTAATTTTTCCCGAAATTCGCATAAAGTTGTTCGGCCAAGCAGAGTATTATGCCGAAGGCGGATCCGGTCGGCCCGCGCACGTCCGGCGGCAACATTTCAAACTCGCATTTGCCCGGCTTGAGCCCTAACTTTATCCCGGGGATTTTCGAAGCCTCGCGATGCGACAGCGTGTACTGGTAAAACGACATTCCGATGGCCACCATTCCGCGCCGGCCGGAAAGAAAAACTTTTGCGTTGGATCGACTTCCGCGTCGCGTGCCGCTGTTCCCTCGAACATTTATATTCTCGCGTACGCTTTACGCAGACAAGAATATAAATGTGTGTAAAAAAAAAAAAAAAAAATCAATCTACTCGAAAAAAATTATAGTACGGAGAAAAAGTATAGCCTACACACTTTTACCGGTTATTTTCTCGTTAAAACCGTTGAAACGCATAGCTTTGTTCGCACCGTTCACAGAAATGTTTCACGAATAAATCCGCGATTTTTTTTTTTTTTTCGATCGGCATCGAGCGGAAGTACAGCGTACGATGCAAGATCGTCGAAATATTAATTTCTTTTTCGATAACAGTTTCGTGCCTCGCTGCACACTGACGGTTTGGGACCATGAACAAGAGTCCCAGGCTGCATTCTTTGCGGCTTGCGATCATCCGCCGGAAGTGGCCGACGAGATGGATACATTAACGGGAGAGAAAGAAAGGGAGAAGGGACAAAGAAGATTTGCCTGAGACCAAAGTTTAACATGGCAGGTGCAGATATCGTGCACATATATAATACACACGTGGAAAAAGTATAGAAATATAAGTTTTATATAAAAAAATATATACATGGTGAGAGAGAAAGAAAGATATAATTAAACACACGATATAGAGAGGGTTCGAAAAAGAGAGAAAGAATATTTTTAATAAATTACTAAGTCGTCCCGCCAATTTTCCGTTATCTTATCTTTTTTTTCTTTGTGCAAGCGTCGTCTCCTTTGCCATTTAATACTCGTTGTGTTATTTTCTCATATTTCTAATTTTATCAATGATTTTAGTCCAATAATTTCACGAATTTAAAGATTTTGATATCTCCTAGTTTGATCTAACTTTAATGTCGACAGAGATAGAGAGAAATTATATAGAATTGATGGTACAAACACTAAGATTAATTATGTTATTATGTGTCTATATGCTATTACGCAGCTACCACAAATGATATAATAACAACCGTCCCTTCCCATCAACATTCCCGAGAGATACTTAAAACAACTATAATTCAAACCGAGGTTATATGAGACTAGCTCGAATAATTTAAACATAGAATTATCAATAGAAATTATTTGAATATCCGTTATAATCATTGCACCGCGACATCTCAATTTCCGTCGCGTTTTGCAACTTAATAATAATAAAGTTAAACAGAATTAAATACTAAGGAATATTAAATAATAAATATACGACTAATACGAAAAAATATTTAAAAAGTAAAATAAAAAGTAATGAAAGCAAAATAAAAAAGAAATTACATGAGAAATTACATGAGAAAAGAGAAGAAAGTTACGCGTGAGAAAAAAGGGGGGAATAGTTATGCGGGGGGAGGAGGAGGGAGGAGGAGGAGGAGGAGGAGAGAATCGCAGCGGTGGAATGAGGCAACATATCAGTACGACTATCTATCGTTGCCTTTAACGCTAATTGATAAATCGTGTTACGTTAATGAATGGGGCTGGCGCAGCGGTCCTATGGCTGGAGGGGAAAAGGGGGAGGAGAGGGAGGGAGGAGGATTCGATACAGTCGCGGAGTAAGAACCGCGTAAGGATAACGAGGAAATTGAAAATCTTACAGTTATATATCGCGAAATCTCTTAAAGAATTCATTCGTAAAGTTTCAAGTAATGTTCAGGGCTCATTCCGAAATAATCCATACGAGCGTGATATCGATAACACACACCGAATTCCGTCATGTTAATACAATTTGGATATTTGTATTTGCGACATGTGTCACAGACCACGATTTCTCCCCTCGAGAAGCGATATAATTTTAATACCTAAATGTCAATCGCGTACCTCATATATTCTGCGGTGGAGAAATCGTACGAAATAAAAATATCAGACGGCGAATTGGCCGGAGAGAGTCGAGATGATTTATTAATTCGATTAAGGCTTATAAGAGAAGCGTATCGCACGTTTGATCTTGATCGCGCGGGCGCATTATTTTTATATACTGCGTCATATCACGCGAGGCTCTGATTGTTGTTCGCGCGCCGCGGATTACATCCTATTACAGATTTATACGAGCGAAACCGTTTTCTCGAGTATACGTCCGAATCGTGTCACTCACGCTGTTCGATTACATGAAGATATAAAATCGAGAGAAATCTTTGCTCGCGCGGTTTATCACCGTGATAGCAGCCATCGCATAAAACAATATATTAGCCTAATTGACGCTCAGTAAGTCGAAAGAAAATAATCCTACTTATGATTTTCGTGGCGCATCAATCATTAAATCTCGCAGTAATTATTTTTCGTTATTATTATCATATTGTAATGTAGGGAGATGCCGAAGAGCATTATTTCCATATCAATTTTATAACTGTCTTATCAA